AAATGTTGTAAACTGTTGTGCTGATCGAGATCAGTTTCATAATAAATAAAATATCCCCGTAGTGTTGGGTAGGTGCCGTTGGCTATCCGCCTTCCCTCTAGTCTATCATTTTAAAAAGTAGGGACGACTACAGCGTATATAGACCTTGCGTAGTTTTGCGCAATATTCAGAAAACAAATAAACAATTATCAAAGGCTGTGAAGAGTTTATAGCCCCATTTTGGTTTACCTGTATAACTTGTCATTGAAATCGCGTTGTTTTCCCCAAGTTTGGAAGGGGTTTGTTGTCGTCCTTATAACAGTTGTAAAAAATTGACTTATTTCTATCATAAATTGTTTTCAAATTTACTGAAAGCATTTCATGTGAGAACTTATCTTTTTATTTTAAAAGTAAAATTGCTTCTACTCAGCATGGCTTTACCAAAAACAAATCAGTTGTTATTAATTTCTTGTATTTCATAAATATTGCAGTGCCAACTGTATTTACTCAGAAACAACTAAATGTTAATTATTGTGAAAAAAACGAGGATTTCTTTTTATGTTAATCATGATATATAATTTCGAATGCTTTATAATTCTGAATTATATGATAGTTATGTTTGATTGGACTCTGATATTACGTGCAACTATTTTTTCATAATATGTTGGGAGCCCAAGTCCGGGACAATTATTCTTTGGTTTGGTTTGTTTGGAATTTCGCGCAAAGCTACATGAAGATTAGCTGCGCTAGTCGTCCCTAACTTAACAGTGATAGACTAGAAGGAAGGTAGCTAGTCAACACTATCAACCGCCAACTCTTAGGTTACTCTTTCACCAACGAAAAGTGGGATTTACCGTCCCGTTACAACGCCTCCATGGTGAAGGAAATTCGAACCCGCGACCCGCAGATTGCAAGTCTAGCGCCCTAACCACGAGGCCATGCCAGGCCTTTAAGATATTTGATCTTGTTTATTCTGTCCAAGATTGTGATAATTTACAGCTAGATATTAAGTGTATTAACAAAAAGTCCTGTGCTAATTGTTCGCCTTTACATATTAATAAATCGAAAGTTGTCTCGTAGTTTCGTAAACTATTCTTTCCAATTTTATTATTGCATACATAATTACGTTTTGTCAGAATATTCTTATATCAAAGATCTTAGAGTAATGTTATCTCAAAAAATTAATTTTCATTTGCACATTCCTCATATAGTTAGCACTTTAAGAACACGAGATAAATAAAATAACTTGCAAATAGGGATCATGAAAAAAAATTAAGGAAACAAGGCTGAAGATACCGTAAACATCATTTACTCAAACTATAAGCCCCTATTTTGGCTCCATGTTATTACCTAGAATTACATTTGGTGGAATCAAAATAGGGATTTTTAGTTTGAGTAAATAATGTCTACAGTATCTACAGGCCTGTTTCCTTACTTTTTTGTTTACGATCCATATTTTTGCATGTTTTTAAATTCCCAATTTTTTATTAATTTTGTTTGCTGGCTTTCTTTTTATGGCTCAAGTATCGGCAAAGGATTACTTGATATAATAGCTAATTTTATACATTGTGGGGATAATAAACATAGCTAATGGTTGGCTGATACGGCTCATGATGATTTACTGTAGCTATTGACAATTTGATCGCATTAGTTCAAGATATAAAATGTTAAGCTGCAACTGAAAATTGTAATGGAGATTTGTTTGAGAATATAGTGAACATTTATATTTTCTGTGTAACTAAATTCTCTATATATAATGCATAGCAATTGGCAAATATATGCTTAGATTAAGACACAATCCCCATTAAGCGCGTATAAAATTTTATCAGTAGAAAAACAACCTTTTCAAATAAAACATATACGTCTGAGACATCGCTTTAAATAAACCTTTTTGTCTTTTGAAGTAATTATTTTACGAATGTGTGTAATAAAATTTAATATTATGTGTATTGATTTTTTTTTAACTCCTTCACTTCATACATAATATTGGGGTTGGCTCCCTAAATACACCGATTGTATAGTGTACAAAGCATTGAGTATCTACGTGTTACAGTCATTAAATGTTCATCTATTATTGGTTGGTAATTCCTGTTTCACCTTGTACTTACCCTTTTTAAAGAAATACTATATATTTGTAAGAAAAAAGAAACAAGGGTAATGATAATATCGTTTACACTAGAATTATGATGTTTTTAGCTTATGTAAAATATAGAAGAAACAAATCGACTTTAAAATAACCCTACAACCTTCGTAGTACCTTATTTAGTATTCTACAAAAGGTTTGAGTGCAATATACCAAGCCGTTTTTGTTTTAGACTGGCAAGAAAATAATATAAATACGAAGAAGAAGAAGAATTACAAACGGGCTGTTTTGAGCGAAATTTTTTTTCCTTGAGTCTAACGTGAGTGCTTTTTTGTGTATTTTATATGTGTTCAGCCTTAGCAGTCAATAGTCAAGGTTTTAAAGTGTTTTTTGAACTGAATCTTTACTGTTTAAGGTACTTTTTTGCCCGAACGTTCTATTGGGGTTTTGTGCAATTCCTTGGGGTTCCTATTATCAACCATTATCTTTAAAATTTACATGTAAGCTAAATATACTTTGTGATAGCGCTAATTAGTAAGATTTTAATAAAACTGAAAACAAAAAATGAGGGGATAAAATAAAACAATAAATAACTGTTGATTTCGGGCATTAGGCCCTCATAAACAATTTGTTTGTTTGTTTGTTTTGAATTTCGCGCAAAGCTACACGAGGGCTATCTGCGCTAGCCGTCCCTAATTTAGCAGTGTAAGACTAGAGGGAAGGCAGCTAGTCATCACCACCCACCGCCAACTCTTGGGCTATTCTTTTACCAACGAATAGTGGGATTGACCGTCACATTATAACGGCCCCACGGATGAAAGGGCGAGCATATTTGGTGGGACTGGGATTCGAACCATCGAACCGCAGATTGCGAGTCCAACAGTCAGTAGTTAATTGTTCATTGATAATCTTAGTTGTTTGTTGTTTTTATTTTGAAAAATTGGAACAGACACAAAGAAAAGTGGTTGGTCTTGCATCAACAATTTTTTTTTATATACTATAATAATTTTTGTATTTTATCTGTCTTTCAGTTGCATCCATTATTTGTTGGAAGGAAGGTTGGGAGGTTATTTATTTATTTATTTTTTTGTATAAATGTCTTAATGATAATGTAACTGTATCTTTAAACTTTATTGTTCTTTTAATTTGCATACATTAAAGCATTTTGAATAACACGCAATATGAGCTTGTCTCCTGTTATTCGTATGCAGCATTAATAGAACAACTATGTTTGGCAACTTATTATTTTAGCATTCTTAATCAATTTTTTAGATAACTTATTAATTTGTTAATTTTTTCTTTATATATTTTTATTGTTGTTGTTTTATTTCTATATGTATTTCTGTTTTTTTGCTCTAACAATACTGCGTTAACTGGAAATAGTTTATGTTGTTTGTCTGGAATAATTAATGTGAACTGCATTTTTAAAATATTTTTTAGTCTAATAAGTTTTTCAAGTTTAACCAACCATCAACGATAAACGCACCAACTTTTAAGTTGGATTTAGCTAGTTT